AGAGAGAGAGAGAGAGAGAGAGAGAGAGAGAGAGAGAGACTGAAAGAGGGAAGTAATTCATGGATTATGGTCATTCCAGAGTGAGTCTGTTTTAAAACCAGTTTGGCTGTGCCTCCTTCATGCATCCCTTTCACCATGTGATGCCCTGTGTTGGAAAGACTCGTTGGATTGCTGTGAAAGTGTCACTGAGTGAGAGAGAGAGATAGACACAGACACAGAGATTGCAGCATCCTAGTCTGCCATGCCAACAAAGTCTCCAATCTGACCACAAGTCAATGATGGGAGGTGTGGACTTGGTAGAATGCAGTGATGAACTGTAACATGCAGTAGCTGGGGCCCTCTGTCAGTGAAGGGCTTCAGCACTCCAACCACAATAGGAATTTGGCAAGATTCAGGCTCATGGCCACCACGGCCAATAAATACAAAGAACTTTTGTAGTTTCTTTTCTGTTCTGCTCATGGGAAAGAGATCATCAGTGAAAAAAACTAAGAGCCAAGGAGGTGATAAACAGAGGAATTCACCTCTTACCAGATTCTTCAACTTGCTAAAAGAACCAGTAGCTCAGATTTTCCAAACAGTTTTTTTTTGGCTGACATGATGATTATTTTATGTATCAACTTGAAGGGACTACAGAGTTCCTCGACATTTGGTCGGCACTATGCTGGGTGTTTCTGTGAGGGTGTTTTAGGTGAAATTAGTATTTAAATCAGCAGACTGTAAGGCAGATGCATGGGCCTCATCCAGCCAATTAAAGGCCAGAATAGAACAAAAAGCCTTCTTTTCTGCCTTCAGACTTAAATGCAATCATCAATTATTCCTGGGTCTTGAACTTGCCAGCCTTCAAATGCACTACTATTTGAACTAAGTCTTCAGCTTTTGAATCCATTTTTTTTCCTCTCTTAACACATCAATTTTTTTTTTTTTTTTGAGACAGGGTCTTCCTATGCAGTTCAGGCTGGGCTTGAACTCACAGCAATCCTCCTGCCTCAGCATCCCAAGTTCTGATATTATAGCCATGAGCCAGCATACCCAGCTCTTAGCACATCCATTATAGTTTTTTTCCATTAAGTTTACTGGTACTTTTTAAGTGTACAGTATGATGACATTTATCACTGGATCTTGTACCTTTACATGATATATCTTGGTTCTTATTTTTTCCCCATTCCCCTGCTCTCTCATGAACCCCTCCACCCTTCCCTATTTACAAAGACTGTTTCCATTTTTTCCTTTTCTCATATTTATTCCTTTAATTATACTTCTTTTAACATATTTTAATTCATTGTCCTAATGGCCAGTCATGGTGGTGTATGTTTATAGTCCCAGCAAGGGAGGCTGAGGCAGGAGTATCGCCATGAGTTCAAGGCCAGCCTGAGCTACATAGTGAATTCAAAGCCAGCCTGAACTACACAGTTAGACCCTGTCTCAAAAAAAAATCCATTGTAAAGTTTGCAATACAGACTTAGAATGAATATAGACTGACAATTCACCTGCAATAAATCTTATAATGAAAGCTCACTTTCAAATTACACTTTTGTCAGGCCAGGGTTTTAACTCAGTGATTCTGCTGCCTGCCTCTCAAGTGCAAGATCCTGAGTTTGATCTCTGGTCAAAAAAAAAAAGTCTGTATCAAGTCAAATTACACTTTTTTCAATTCATGGATAGGGCAGGTACCTTAAAATAAGTGTTTTGAGTTCCTTTTTTTTTTTTTTTTTTTTTTTTTTTTTTTGCTGGGGATTTAACTCGGGTCCATTGTGCTTGCAAGGCAGGCCCCCTAACCCCTGGGCCAAATCCCCCGCCCTTTTTTTTTTTTTGGTATTTTGAGACAAGTTTTCACTATGTAGTTGAGACTGACCTGGAACTTACTATGTAGCCCATGCTGGTCTCAAACTCACAGCAATCCTCCTGCCTCAGCCTCCCAAAGTGCTGGGATTACAGTCATGAGGTACCACGCCCAGCCTTTTTTTTTTTTAAAGACAAGATCTTGCTATATGTGTGGCAATCCTCCTGCCTCAGCCTCCACCAGCTCTCTTCACTCTTATAAAATTTCTTTTGTTCATCTTACTTATACTATAGTCCCCCAAAACATGGTTACTCTTATGACTTTAGACAGTTACCTATTAGTTCAATTAAATATTTAAAAATAAGAAATATAAAAGATTTTCTATTACCTTCACTTATGCCTTTTTCAACACATTTCCTTTTTTTTTTAATACAGATCTGAATTTCTGACCTATGTCATTTTTTCACTGAAGAACTTCTTTTAGTAAGAACTTCTTGTAGTATGTTATCTGCTGGAAATAAATTTCATTTTTTTTATCTGATAAAGTTTTTATTTCTCTTTTCTTTTTTAAGACAGAGTCTCACTATGTAGTTGAGACTGACCTAGAATTCACTATGTAGCCCAGGCTGGTCTCAAACTCACAGTGATCAGTCTCCCAAGTGCTGGGATTATGGACGTGCACCACTATGCCTGGTTTCTTTCTTTTTTTTTTTTGTACTGGGGATAGAACTCAGGTCCTTGCACTTGTGAGGCAGGTGGTGGAACCACTGAGCTAAATCCCTGGCCCTCTCTTTTCTTAAATAACATTTTTAAACTAAATTTTACCATTTAAATCATCTTACGCATAAAATTAAGTGACCTTTACTACATATACTTTTGGAAAATACTTTGGCTGGATATAGAATTCTAAGTTGATGAAGATTTTTTCTTTCAACAGTTAAAATATTCTGAGGCCTAAGGGTGCAGCTCAGTAAAGAGTGCTCCCCTGGTATCCCCGAGATTCTGGCTTCATCCCCAACACAGTAAGAAGAAAATCTTTTTTCACTCCCTTTTCTTCTTGCTTGCATGGTATCTGCCAAGAAGTCAGATTCCTGTTTCTTCTGTAAGTAATCTGGGCTTTGTTGTTGTTGTTGTTATTGTTATTTACTTATCTTGGTTGATTTTGAGAGACAAGACTCAGTATGTAGTTAAGGCTGGCCTTGAACTCACTATGTAGCCTAGGCTACCCTTGAATTTGCAGTGATCCTCTTGCCTGGGACCACAGGCATGCACCACCACACCTGGCTGTTTCTTATTTTCTATAGTTTGACTAGATGTCTAGATATTGGATTTTTGTCTTAGGTTTGGGGGTTTTGTTTTTTGGGGTTGTTTTGTATGTGGGTTTTTTGTTTTGTTTCGTTTTTGTACCAGGGATGGAACTTGGACCTTGTACCTGCAAAGCACACGGCAGAACCACTGAGCTAAACCCCCAGCCCGGTTGTTTTTTGTTTGTTATTTTTTATTAATACTAACTAGTGTTCCCAGGCTTATAGTTTGGTGTTTCTCATTAATTTTAGAAAATTATCAGCCATTTATACTTGAAATATTTCTTCTGCTCTGTTCTTTCTTCACCTGTGGTGTTCCAATAGTGTGTATATTAAGCCTTTTGACAGTTTTTTGTTGTTATTATTGTTGTTTTTGAGTCAGGGTCTCACTGTGTAGCTCAGGAGCCCTGCCGCCCTAAACTCATTGGGATCCTCCTGCCTCTACTTCCCTATGGCTAGGATTGTAGGCATGCACCAGCACACTTGGCTTTTTGTGCCTTTTTTTTTTTAATTATCTTTTCTTTTTCCAGCTTAGTTTGCTAAGTTTCCATCATATCTTTAGAGTCGCTGATTTTTTTCCTCAGCTGTGTCCAGTCTATTTATGATCTCATCAAGGGCATTCTTCATCTCTGTTATAGTGGTTTTACTTCCAGCATCTCCATTCACTGAGTTCTCACCTGCTTATATTACTCATCTGTACTTACATGTTGTCTACTTTTTCCATCAGAGTCCTTAGCATAATAGACAGTTGTTTTTTTTTTTATTTTCTGGGCTTATAATTCCAAACTGTATCCTATCTGGACTTAATTCTATGCTTGCTTTGTCTGTAGATTTTTTTTTTCTTGCCTTTTAGTATGAAGGTAAAGGAACTGAGGTAAGTAGAGCTTTAGTGGAGACGATATTTTGTTTAGGAGCTGGACTGTTTGTTGCCTGTAACTTTACCAGCTGTGTTTAAATTCCTCTAGAGTCCTTGGTTTTTGTCTACTCTGCTTTGGGTTTCCCGAAGAATTTCTTCAATCGGTCTGTCTTTGTTATAATCTGCTACTGTTATAGTGGAGCCCTGTTGATATGGTGATAAAGTTTCGGGAAAGGGAAGCATTTTGTAATTTTATAATTAAATCAGCTTTTTTAGTGCATCTGAGTCCTGGGTTGTGGCATTCATAGGTATCTCTTAGCTTTCTTCCCATCCTTCTGAGGAAGATTAAAGGTAGCTGCTGTTGAGGAATTGTTCTAACTCTGGGTGAGATGGGTCTGATAAGGTTGTTTTTTGTGTGTGTGAGGTAGTCTCAGTGCCCGTGTTGCTCAGGCTAGCCCTAAACTCCTGAATTCAAGCTGTCCTCCTGCCTCAGCCTCCCAAATAGCTGGGATTGCAGGGATGAATTAGTGCATCTAGCCTAGAGCATATCTGTGGGAAGGGGTACTGGAGGTTGAACTCAGGACCTTGTCTTGTGAGGCAGGTGGAGGAACCACTGAGCTAAATCTCTGGCCCATATTTTTAAATGTTTACTTTCTAGTTTCCCTTGCTAGAGACATATGGAGATTGATCTTGAATATTTGCCACAAAGCCACATCTAGCCTCTATCAACTTGTCAAAATCACCATTTAAACTTCCCTAACAGTTTGTGGCTCCAGTAGCTTCTGTTCTAGATAAGCCAACGGTGGCTGGGCTGAGCGTATTTGTCTCTCTGTAGATTTTGGAGTGGCATTTTGCCTTAAAACCTCCTTTCCCCCATTGGCCCAAGATAAGCAGCTCCCCTTCAGTTTGTTGAGCTTTTTTGTTATAAGCATGGAAATAATGGCTTCCAAGCTCTATATGCGTTAATGCTAGCACCAAAAATTGCTTTTCTTTTCCTGTTTTTTTTTTTTTTTTTTTTTTTTTTTTTTTAATGCCTTGATGTTATATTTCCCAAAAATTGTTTTTTTTTTTTTTTTTTTTTTTTTTTTTTTTTTTTTTTTAAGTGCTCTCAAAGCACAGGGCTGAGAAGACAAAAAAGGCTCTCTATATCCATCTATTTGTCCACCGGGGAAAGGTCTGCTGGGGAGTGACTCTGTGAAGGAAGGGCCCAATGGTGCACAGGTGACCCTGGCCAGGGAGCCAACACACAGATGCTGGGGGTGCAGCAGATCTCACCCCCACTTCACTGCCTCATTCTTGCTCCATCACTTTTCATTCAGACTCGGCTCTCACTCTTCTCAGGCCTCACCTACAGTCCACGCTGGGTCCTGCTTGCTAGAATCTTTCATAACAATGGATCTAGCCCTGCCCCCAAACTCTCCCGCTAGAAAACCCTGCACTCCTAGCAAAAAATTATAAGTTGCTTGGTGCGGCATCTGCAGATCCTCATGACTCACTTCAAATATCCTGTTCCTGCATAGTAATAAGGTGCCAAGAACACCTAAACTGAACATGCCCAGACCTGTGCAGATCCCTCTGGAAACCTTTCCTATTCTGACCAATTAACTTACTCAGTTACAGGCCCATACTCTAGGTCCAACTGGTATCCTGCTGTGTTCCTCAGCCCCAAGAAACCTGTCTGGCATCAGTACTCACAGGATACTTTGCATCCTTGGGACACTGAACTCTGGCAGCCCTCCCCCCTTCCCCTCTCCAGCTAAGGAAGGTGATCTGCTGCAGGAGCCTCTGGGTACCTGCTGTCCAGGGCAGAGGACAGGATCCTGGCTCTGTAGGCACAGACCCCAGGGGTACCCATTCCAAGCCCCACTACTTTCCAGCTCTGTGACCTAGACAAGCTACTTACCTCTTAATGCCTCACCTTCATCATCTACAAAAGATGTAATACATGGGACCTAGCTCTTAGGTAGAGGCCTCCACGAAATAATGCAATATAGGGAAGTTTGTGTGTGGTAAATGCCCAACAAGTGATTGTTATTATTAGTACAACACCTGCATTGGCCAAGCGCCATGCCAGGTGCTCAGATATCCTAGTGCAGTGATGGTGAACCTTATAGAGCTTTCAATGATAACAAACAAAACAACCCACTATGGCACACATGCCATAGGTTCACCACCTGTCTTAGTGCATTTTATCCACACCTCAGCCAGCACAGCAGGGATGTTAGTTTTTTTGCTTCCACAAAGGAGGCAAACAACACCCTGAGGAGACAAAGCCATATGCTTCTTCCCCTGGGCCACCATGGCTCAGCCCTGTCACATACTCCTGGGTGGGTGGAGGCCCTGGATGGGGGAGGTTGTGTAGATTTGAACTGTCTTGGTGCCCACTGGCACCTTAATGATGGAGGAGATGGCAGCAGCCATGGTGGGGAATTGGGGCACAGGGGTGAGGATGTGTCCCAGCCCAAGCTGTTGACTGATCCCACAAGGTAATGGGATCTTCTTGGCCTTTCTGCTCATTCCATTCCCCCAGTGCCGGTGAAAAGGAGGAGCCCCCATTGCTGAGGTCTTCCTATATGCCAAGTGAATGGAGAGCTGGGTGCTTTGATGTCATATACATCCCCACAAACTCCAAGAGGTGGCTGTTATTGCCCCTGGCATATCCAAGTCCAAAGGGAAGTAACCAGGTTTTCCAGATAACACAGGAAACACCTCATCTCCGTTTCCACTGCCAGTGGAGGCTGTTTGCCCTCACTTCAATTGGTGAGGCTCAATTACTAGGCAACATCAATTGTGGATTACAACCACCCCAGATTAGGTGTCAGAATTTGAAGCTTAACACCAATGCCTGTTTAAATCTCTTAGCTTACACACAGGTTGTACAGTGCACAAGCCATATAACTCCATGTAAGAGTCCCCACATCATTCTAAGAGGAGGAATCCTTTTAGAACAGAGGTGTTGATACTACCCTTTTCAGCTCTGTGACCTCAATCCCTTCCTTCTTCAGCACTTCAAGGTGTCCTACTGTTAAACAAACCAAGCTCAGTCTCAACAGTCTCGTCTGGTGTCTGCCAAAAATCTTTGGCCTTGAAGGAGCAATCTACCTTGCAAGGCCCCTCATCCACTCTCTCATTGGCCCCGGGCTTCCTTCCAAAAGCTTCTTGTATGATCACTCCCCAGTCTCATGGTCTTGCTCGGTTTTTATCTAAACTTCACCTCTCCTAGTTAGTGGTCTTGGAGATTGCTGAACATCTCCCCTCATGCTACAAGAACACTCCAGGGATTTGCCTACTTCTCCCCATCTCTTTCCTGCCAACTTAAAAACATGGTTCTCCCTCCCTCAGGCCTTGACCTAAGACACTGCTGAGTTGCTGTGTCTAACTTAGCTCCAGTCCTCAATTGCTCTCCTTCCTATCTTCATCTCAGTGAGGCAGGATGAAGCAGTTTCCCAGTTAAAGCCCAACCAAAGGGACCCTGACAGTGGTCACACTGCCCAGATGGAAACCCAAGGAGCTGCTTGGAAACCTTAGAAAGTTGGGTGGGAAGGTGGTATGGAACCTTGTGCCTTTGGCTTCTTCTCCCATGTTTTTTTTTGGTACCAGGGATCCAACTCGGGCCCTTGTGCTTGCAAGGCAGGCGCTGGAATCACTGAGATAAGTCCCTGGCCCTGTCTTCTCCTATCTCAACCTGCCATCCCTACTCCTACCCTAATTCCTTGACAACTAAAGGAGGTGTCATCTTTTGCCCATTACTCTTCCCCACAGCCAAAGGTGACAAACCAGGGTCCACAACACATTTTGTTTGGCCTGCCATCTTTTTCAAAGTTTCAATTAGCTGCTATCATTAAAAAATCAGATTTCACTTATGAATCCAGCATTCTAGTTTCTTTTGAAAAATCAGAAGATCTGGTAACATGAGGTCCACATTCCTGCATGTGACAACCAGCTGGAGCTGGTATCTGCTGTTCCTTGCTGTGGGGCTTGTGCTCTGGTTTCTGGAGTTCTAAGCCTCCTCATTGCAACTGCCACCTACACCAGCCACATGGCTTCTAAGCCGTATCTCTGCATGAGGCAGTCCAGTGGGAAGGAGACTAATTAGATATTGTTCAGTTCAACCTTTCCCACTGCCTGAGGCCTCGGCACACAAAGGAGGGCAGAGTAGGGCAAGCAGGAAGGCAGGGTGGAGAGTCCTAGTTGAAGCCACTTTTCAGCCTTTTTGTGATCACTGTTTACTGCCAGCAGCATCCCAGGCATCATATGTGTCCTATCCCAGCTCAGGCCTGCCTCTGGGGCCCAGGCTGGTGCTAAGATAGAGCTTGCCATTTCTTCAGGCCACTCCACATCCTATGGGAGCTGGGCCCCAGGCCTGAGCTCTCATCCTGAGGCTGAGCAGCAGTGTGATCTGTAGGCATGGGCTTCCTTAACGTCTGCACAACTCAGCCAGAGGTACACCACGGGGTTGCTGCCTTGTCACAGTCCAACATGATGTTGAGAACAGTGCAGGGGGCCCCTCCCACAGACAGGGCTACGCGGGAATCCACACGGTACTTCACAGTGTTTAGGCCTCCCTCCCGGTCCACCTTGAATTGCTCCTGGGAAGGAAAGGAGGAAAGAGCACAGACTCAGGACTGCATGGTGCTGGCTGTTCCCTGAATTCACAGGACCTCATCATTAAGGTTCCTGTGGACCACATGAAGAGAGGAGAACCCAAAGCTCAGAGAAGTGAAGTCTTGCCCAGGGCTACACCCATGAATAGAGCAGGAAAGCAGGGATTTTTCCTCTGGAAAAAATATGCCTCTGAGAAAAGAGGCTATGTGAGGACACGTATCAGCAACGTAAGTCTGCTGGGATTCTGGCACCATTAGAGAAGCCTCCCCTGCCCCCAGCCTGCACAGACCCTGAGGTGTGGGCTGACCTACCGTGCCCAGACAGCCTAGGCAGTCAAGAAAGCAGAGCATGGTGCCCAAGCAGAATACCCACTGACTGACCTGGGCAAGCAGAGGAGGATGGGACTATGTCAGCCTACGAAGAACTTGGTGAAATGCCCAGGCCTGTTACTTCCCCACACCACCTACCACCCTCAATAAGGAGGCCAGCCAGTACCTGTTTTTGAGCTGCAATACGCTTCTGATCCCTCTTCCGCCAAGCTGGGTCATGCAGGTGCTGAAATGTCTTATAGCCAGTTGTGATTCCAGAGGGGCGGAAAAGCTAAGGGAGAGCGAGGAAAGTAGGGGTCAGGCCAACCCTCCTGGAGCCTTGGATCTCACTACTAGCTTCTCTGGGGTCCCACTGCCTGCCAGGAGACCGCAACTAGGGGCTTGTATTCCCATCCTGCAGAAGAGGGCAAAGGACTACTTAACCACTGCAGGTTCAGGGCGGGGACTGGAACTAGGGGTCGGGGGCATTTCCAAACCTCAGGAACTTCTCACAGAGAGAAGGCAAGCTCAGGACAGCTACAATGACTGAGGAGGTGGCAGGACCCAGGGCCAAAGGGAGCCTTACCTGGAGCCCAGCTCCTTTGATGCGCCGGTAGAATTCATCATCCTCGCGACCCCAGCCCCAGAAGCGGTTAGACATCCCGTTGCACTGACATAGAGACAGGCAGCATCTATCACCTGCCCTAGGGGAGCATGCTGGTAACCTAATGCTTAGGAGAATCCAGCCCAGGCCTGACAGACTCCCCCATCCTCCTTCCTATCTTGCTATTCTGAGTAGACACCAGGTCCTTGCAGTTCCTTCCACCTCTGTGGTATTCGGGTGGGAAGCAGGGATCACCCCATCCCAGTTCTTCTCCCTATTCTTCTTTTTTTTTTTTTTTGGTACTGGGGATTGAACTCAGGACCTTGCACTTGCAAGGCAGGTGGTGGAACCACTGAGCTAAATCCCCGGCTCTTCTCCCTATTCTAATGGGGCCTGAACTTGTATGAGATGATCAGTGTCACAAAAACGTCTGACTAGCCAAAAAGGATCTCTCTGGAGGATGGCTGGTGGGCAGAAGTGTCAATTGCTACTGGTTTCTATCTTCCCTTCATATTCACATTTCTCCTAAAGTGGCTTCGCCATTGCATCCTCCTGTGTGTATGAGAGCGACATTTGGGCTCTTTGACAACACCTATTTTTAATCTCAGCTCCAAGGATTCATTTACATAAAGCAGGTTTCAGCCATGAGCCTAAGCCATGCAGTTCTTCTCACCCAACCACGGACAGAGCTACTTCAGTTCAGTTCAGGGATTCCTGTCCGAGGTGTTGGGAAAGAAGGGGCTCCAACTCCCACCAGACCAAAACCTAGGATACAGGTTGTAACTACAACCATCTTGCAGACTACACATCTGAAAATAATAGGAGAGCTGAGAGCCAGAAAGAGAAATGGTGCTCTAGTGACACTAGCTAAGGCAGGCACTTTCCCCATCCCACTTTTCAATTGTGAGGGCCAGCACATCTCCAGTTTTCTTCAGCCAACGGGCCTGGAGGTTTGTGATGCTATTAGCAGAGCGCTGCCTGACATGCTCATTACTATTTCTTCTCTCATGTCTCTGGCTGCCACCGGGTCCCCTGCTGGGCCCAGGCAGGATTTCATCTGCTGGGCCTGAGGAGTGCTGCTCCATCCTGCCAAGTGCATCTACTCAGAGCAAGATAGGACGGGGGTTGAGGGCGCCCTATCCCTGGGCAGAACAGGTTGGGCTGGGCCTCACCAGCTGGTAGTGCTGCTTGGAGAGAAGGAGGATGCCGCCCACGTAGGTCTTGTAATGGTAGAGCGGGTGGAGCTCTGGGGAGGCCACATGGAAGGGCCCAGCCTCAGGGAAGCCATAGTCTAGCTCCTCGTTGAGTGGGAGCAGGTCCACATCGTGCATGGCAATGTAGTCTGTGCTGTTGCTGCTCTCCAAGAAGCCCACATTGATGAGTGCTGCCCGGTTGAACCTGTGCAGGGTGGTTAGGGTAAGGCAGGGGGCAAAGAGCTTGTTCAATGCCTGGCTGTGTCCCAGTTCTGAGTGAGAGCCTCTTCTCCACAGATACCCTGTTCCTGGGGCCTCTGCTGCCCTTAGCCCAGCACTGACTTTGCTACATTGGGGCTATGTCCTCCACTCATTAAACAACTGTTTACTGAGCACCTACTAAGTGCTAGAAACAGTTCTCAACTGCACTAAAAGACACATGAGGGAGAGAACAAAGCCCTGTTCTCCACGAGTAAACGAAGGAGCAAATGAGAAGTAACAAGGCAGACAGTTATGAGGACTGTGGGAAAAGTCAAGCACATGAAGAGGGAAACTTGCTGCGGGGAGGAACAGCTGTTGTCTTTGACAGGGCTGTCAGGGAGGGCCAGGGTGTCAGGGCAGCATCTGAGTAGAAATCCAAAGGCATAAGGGAATAAGTCATATAGAAGCTGAGGGATCATGGCCCCAAGCAGAGGAGAAGGCAACTGCCAAGGCCTGAGGCAAGAGGAAACAGCGGTGCAGGCAAGAGTGAGGGGGCCGAGTGGGGAGAGTCCAGGGACTGACAGGGCTGACTGCACTGAAGGACTGGGGCACTGAGGCTGGAGGGGGTGAGGAGCTGCTAGGGGACTTGAAGCAGAGGTGTGAGGTGCTTCTATTTTAGCAAGTTTACTAGTTGACATGTTGAGAAGAGTTGTAGGGACACAAGTAGAAGGAAGGAGGACAACTGGGAGGCAAGAGGTGATGGGGACCTGGCAAGAAGTGGGTAGATTCTAAGATTCTAAATATATTTTGCTGATAAACTTGGTGCTATATGTCAGAACAAGGGCAAATGAGGATGACTCCACAGCATCTCTGGCCTGAGCAACTGGAAGCATGGAGTTCCCATTTCCTGAAAAGGGGAAGATGGCAGGGGAAGCAGGCCTGGGGGGACATTTAGGAATTTGAGGCTGAGACAAAATAATCACTGTGAGCTCAAGGCTAGCCAGGCTACATAGAGTTCAAACCTAGCCTGAACTATATAGCAAGACCTGTGTCAAAAAACAAACAAAAAAATTCAGCTGTGATCACATAACCCTCAAGCTACCTCTGAAACTACCACATGGAGGGCTCGCAGAGGAGACTAGATATGCAAGTCTGGGGTTCGGAAAAAGGTCTAGAGTCTGGGCTGGAAATATAGGCTCAAGAGTCAACAAGAACTTAATTCTGTAAGACTGGATGAGATTTCCAGGGAAAGACTGCAGCTCAAAAGGGGGAGATGCTCAAGCATTAAGCCCCCAAGAACTTATGATGAGAGGGATGAGGGAGAATCAGCAAAGGGGATGAGCGGGCTGACCAGCAAGGATGGAGGAGAACCAGAGTGCTGTCCCAGGAATCAGGTTAAGGCCTCAGAACAAGTAATCCGTTTAGCAGATGTTCTCAGATTGAAAGGATGAAGGTTTGGGATTAAGGAAGTGGAGCTCATTGGTGATCTCAATGTGGGCCGTTTTGGTGTCAGTATCTGAATAGAATGATTTCAAGGGAAAACAAGGGAAGGAGTTCTGCAAAGGAGAGAAGCGGGGTGACAGTTTTGGGGGATGCAGAATAGAGAAAGTGTTTATTTATTTCCCTCCTTTTATTTTTATTTTATTTTTTTTTTTGGTTTTTTGAGACAGAGTCTTACTATGTAGTTGAGACTCACTTGGAACTCACTATGTAGCCCAGGCTGGTCTCGAACTCACAGTGATCCTCCTGCCTCAGCCTCCTGAGTGCTGGGGTTATAGGCTTGTACACAAGAGTCTTACTATGTAGTTGAGACTCACTTGGAACTCACTATGTAGCCCAGGCTGGTCTCGAACTCACAGTGATCCTCCTGCCTCAGCCTCCTGAGTGCTGGAATTATAGGCTTGTACCACCACACCCGGCCATCCTCTTTTCTTTTTAGAGGAGAGCTATCCTAGTATGTGTGTATGCAGACATGAATGCTCCAGAACAGAGGAAACACCAGTGATGCAGGACCAAAGCAGAGCAAATGCTGCAGTGCTACCCTTGAGTGGGAGGGAGAGAGAGGGGTCCAGCACCACAGTGGGAGAATTGGGCCCTGACAGAGTGGGACAGTCATTCCTAGTAACAGAAAGGAAGCTAGGAGTTGAGGGAGGTGGTAGAGACAAAGGAAAGTTCTCTTCCAATTGGTTTCATTTTCTTATATGAGAAGCAAAGTCATAGGCTGGGAGTGAGGATAAGGCAGAAATGCCAAGAGGTGGTGTCAAAGACCGCCAGGGATTGACTAGAGGAACAGAGGCTTCCAGCAGGACTGGGGACTGTCTTGGGTCAGGGCTCATCATCAGAAATGAATGGTGTGCCATTAAGAGGATAGGAGGTTAAGGATAGATGTGACAGAGTAGTTTTTAATGATGGACCATGGACTCTGGATTGGGAAAGAGAAAGTAGGAAGGAGAGTTGGCAGTGAAACGAGGGGAGGATTCATGGACTCGTGGAGTGGGTGGGTTGCAGGAATCTTTGGAGTCCATCTTCCAGTACAAAAAGTTAGACAGAAAGGAAGTAGGGTTTGGAGAATGAGATGCTTGAATGGTAGTAACTGAGGGAGCAGTTTGAGATAAGGGCAAGGATTTTAGGATAACACTATTGCAGGAAACCCTCGCTTTTCCTAATTCCCCTTCATCACTAACCAGTCCTGTCTACACTTTCTCTCCCTAATTCTTACCCCCTTCATCACAATGGGTGAACCAAATCCTCTCTGATGACTGCAGTGACCATCTAGCCAGTGTCCCTGCTTCTCCTGTCCTGGTTTATTCCACATACAGCAACCAGACTAACCTTTCTAAAATGGAAATTAGATCTGGGCCCTCCCCAGAGATTTCCACCACACCCAGTGAGAGGGCTCTACCACCTACACCCCCAGGCCCCTATCCCTGGTGGCTTCTCACAGGCCTGAGTCCATTCAGCAATGGGAACAGGTCTGAGCAGCCAGAACAAGGTGGGGGATGCTGAGTCAGGAGAGGAGGAATGGGTGGTCCCTACCGGAAATGATCCACCTGGTTGAGCACGTAGATGTGGTGCTGGATCTTCTTCCTGCTCAGAAAGCGGTGCATGTGAGGAACGAAGACCAGCAGTTCCTCAAAGCGTTCACGGAATGGCACCAACACTGCCAGGTGATGGGGGCCCCAGGATGCATCTTCTTCCCAATGCTCAGGGGGTAGCTCTGGGGGGCAGGCCTGGAATGGACCTGGGGTCTCCTGCCCTTGTCCCCTGGCTGCCCTGGCCACATCACCAGAGCAGCTGAGCTGCAGCCAGAGTAGGGAGAAGAAGCCCAATAAGAGACAGGCAACGAAGAGGTGGAAGATGGAGCATTTCCGGGGGAGGCCACCAAGGAGCCACCTGGACCTGGGATAAGAGTAGGGCTGAGTCAGAGGGCACAGCCAACCTGAAGTTCTCTTCACAGACCTCCCCATGCATAAGGCATACACATCTAGTGCACACCAAGTACCTGGAAATTAGTGCAAAAGCAATTTTAATGTTTTTGCTCATGCTACTGCCATAATCAGAATCCTGTTTACTTCTCTAAGCCCAGTTCATGCCACCCCACCTCTGGGACATTGAGTACTCCTACCTTGCAAGCTGCCAGAGTTCCTTGACACTCTCTTATTTTCTGTAAATGAATCATCATCTGACCACGAGCTGCTTGAGGGCAGGGACAAGGCTTATACTTGCCCCTCCTCAGGGTAATGCCTCAATGTCCTGAGCCAGTGGCAAGAGCCCCACCTTGGAGAGACACAACCCACTGACTTCCAAACCTACTCCCCGACAGATTCATCCTGGCAGAAGTCTTGACTTTGCCCTGCTTCACAGGCTGACCAGAAGGCCCCTCAAGAAAAGGGTGTGTGTTGGGTGTGTCCCAGGTCAAACGACCAATATTTACTCTGGGAAGATCAGACCTACCCCTGAATCAATGCAAGAATAAAATGCACAGTGGCAGTTCATAGGATGAGTTTCAAACTTTCAGTCCCAGAGGTATGTAGCCCATGAGACAAGAAGGACAGATGAGGGAAAGAAAGACAAGTGCTGGTGCAGCACCCAGCTTCATTTCAGAAACTGGACAAATGGGTGAATATCTTAGACAATGGGGTGACACTGGGACACTGCCCTTTAGATCAGGAGGTACAAAAAACAGGTGGAATCCACCTGATTCCTTTGTCCTACCTCTGGAACTTCCAGAGGATGCAAAGACAGGACCTTGGAAATTGGAGGGAAACATCCTCTATAATCACCTTCCCCTGCCCCAATAATCTACAAAGCAGTTCAGTTTACAATCTCTGATTAGGAATTTGCTACCAAGACTGGTACATTCTACCTCGAGTTCCTTTGTGATCTTGCTTACTCATCTTGTTCGTCCCTGCTCAGATGCTTTTAATCTTAGCCTGTTTACAAGATAAAAGTCAAACTCCTTAGCCTGACAGTTAAAGCCCTCTATGGCTCAATCAGATCTCTAGTTGCTCCCAACCATTCAGTCTTATTGGAATAACTGTGGGCCTCTACACTCACCACATTCCTTCCTGCTCCATCCCTCCCTCCCACAGGCTGTCCCTTCTTCCTAACATGCTCTGCTTTATTGTATCTACCTGGAAATCCCCTGCTGAACCAAACTTCAATGTCATGGCCAGCACTGCCCACTACCATCCTTTTATAAGGGCCCTTCGTGTTCCCATGTATCTGGTACTCCCCTCTTTTAAAGTACTTGTCATGTCCCATGACTTTGCTTGTTAGACCATGTCAGATTCCTTCTGTGGTCCCGGCACAGGCCAGAGAGCAAAGGGCTTGCTAAGTGAGTTAAGAAAAGGTTAAGCAGTCCAGGCATGCTTTAAGTCACAAACTAGAATCAGACCACTGCCTACCTTTCTCTAGAGACACAATTGCCAACCTGGAAGCCAGCAGCACTGAAGCCAGATCCAGATTTCACACGAAGCTGAGAGGTGGTCCAGCAGGACACCCTTACAGGGTTCTGACTTACCCCCCACGGTCCTGCAGTGGTGGTTTCCGCTGGGGAAGAGCAGAGCCCAGTCCTGCATGTGACCTGGGCAGACTGGAACCTCTACAGAGTCTCTCCCTCCCTCTGGGCTCTTTCTGGGAGCAGAGTGGAGACTGTGAAAATGGACATGGGGCAAGCTTCCCCCTTTGGGGGAAGCAGGATTGACCATTATCCAGCAGTATGCCATGGAATGGGCCTTCTGTGCACTTTCCTGTGCTGTTTTTTCAATCCAGATGGCTCTTTATGACAAGGCTTGTGTCTCCATTGGCATTCTCATCTTGTGCTCTTAAAAACCCAAACTTCAAAGCAACTGAATTTAGCCCAGAGCCCCAATTCTTCTAGACAGTGGGCCCTGAGAACAGCTGCTCCTGATGCCACTTGGTGGCTGGCTCCAGAACTGCACTCCCAGCTGTTCCCAGGGCCAGACCACCCTAGCTCTGAGGGGCAGTCCAGATGAGGCTTTGTCTCCTTCATCAATCACTGCACAAAGCTAGTAAGAGGTGGATTCAAATCCAGGCAGGTTGGCTCCAGAACCAGTGCCTAATTGTTACACTAGCCTGCCTCTGTTGCATGGATCTTTGTATTCCTATGTCAAAAGCACAGACAGGATATCAGTGAAATTTTATGGGAACAGTTATGTATAAGGATCAAAAAACAGAAATGCTCAATTCCCATTTCTTTCTTCTCCTTTTACCTTTTGTAAAAGGTTTGACTATTCAGTTCCTCTGTCTAGCACTTCAAAAGTAACTGGAAGATTACTATTACCTTCTCTGTGCCAGGATAGTGCCAAGGTCTTACATATACAATCTCCTTTCATTCTCATACAGCCCTGAAGATATTAAGATCCCCATCTCAAAAATGTGAGGCTGAAGTCAGAAAGAGTAAGTTATCTGTTTCTGGTCATCTGGCTATTAAACAGGACTCTTGCCCATAGCAGATTTGATAGACTATGACTTCTATTATATTCCTGTCTTCTTATTTCAACATGAAGTCTGAAGAACCCCCAAAGTTGCAAGAGGTGTGCCTAATAAATTCCAGAATCTCATGGCACCTAACAAACTTAAGAGACATAAAGAGAATGAGATTTCACTCACTGGGTGAAGACTACCATGTGTACTAGGGAAGAAGCATTTGGGGGTTCATCTCAAGCCTGCATATGGGTGCCCCCCCAAATTTAGGCAGCCAAATCGCTTCATCCATTCTGCTTTAATAGGAAATGTCGTTAGCTAAAGTTGGGCCAAGCTCACACCTAACACATGGAGCAGGCCCCATGCAAATACAACTGCACAGGAAATGAACTAATATGGGTGTGAGAAGTGTGTAGTACAAGCCAAGCCGTGGCCAACCAGGAGAGCATACTAAGCTTCTGTCTGGTGTGTTCTGGGCCAGCAGCAAGATACTGAGAAGCAGGAAGGAGAGAGGGTTGGGTCTGAGGCTACGTGGGTGTGATGGGGAAGAGAGCACCAGAGAAATGGAATAAAGACCTTCAGAAACCAGGGAAACAGAAAGATATCCACTACAAGAGGTCAAGTCAGAGACCCACAGGAAGACAGACAAGCAGTGGAGAAAACCAAACACAGACCAAAAAAAGATAGAAAAAGGCTCTCAGAGAAACAGAAACACAGAGAACAGCGCCAGTGACCGACAGGGAGAGCCACAGACTTGAGACCCGCAGAGACGCAGACGCCACGGCCGCAGGGCGGCCCAGGAAGGAGCGGCACCGGGAGGACAGGGTCC